CCATGGTTCCCTTGTCACTGAAAACTAAAGATTAATGTCCAAATAAGATTGCAATACATATTTAATCATATGGCATAAGGAAACCCATATAATTTTTAAATCATAAAGCCTAATAAGTTATATTCTGTTCATCTGCAGTCTCATATAACATGCTTCCTATTAAGAAAGTACATCTTACAAGCGTTCTAATAAGAAACAATTAAATCATAAAGCATAACAAGCTACATTCTATTCATCTGCAGTCTCATATAACATGTTTCCTATTAAGAAAGTACATCTTACAAGCGCTCTAATAAGAAACAAGAGTTCCAACGCCCATTAAACATCACAGAACTATGACTTGGCATCAGGACATTAATGAAGGGAGGACACAAGGTTGGGGTCCAGGTGGAGGGCAGGGTTGGCATAACATCACCAGACATTTCTCTGTAGACATTATCAGGCGATAACTCAAAAAACACACTGCCTTCCAGTTGATCCTTGCTCACAATGCCCTGTAGAACAGAGCAGAATCTCCCCTTTGGGTTTGGGGGCTATAAATCTACAGGAACAGAAAGCGTCATCTTTCTAAGCAGAGATTAGTGGGTTCGAACTGCTGACCTTGTGGTTAGCAGCCCAACACATAACCCACTGCGCCACCAGGGCTCTTTGTATACTCAAAAGATGGTGCTTTTAAAAAGGGGTGCAATGCTCAAGAAAAGTCATCTAAAATTTTCTAATTATCTGATCTAAAATCCATAACCCTCAAAATTCAACAAATAGGAATCCTGGGTCTGAGGTTAAACTTTAAAAGCTGCTGAGAAAACAGGATGTTTCGCTTGATTAAAATGCATCTACATGCATAATAAACATTTTACTACACGAATCAGCAAGAGAAAAAAATTAAATCGTGAAAGAAACCTGAAATGTAGATAGCACCGTCACTTCAGGGAGAACGCAGAAGCCCTCCTACATGGGAGGCCTCCCTGATGTTGGCACTGCTGGACCCCTCCGCGAAGACCGACTGTGGATTTCTCTCAAACTGGCTGTGTTGGCTTCTGCACTTATTCTTTATTAAAAAGCAAAAAGGATAACTGTGTTCCTTTGCTAAAAATGAATAACAATCGCCAAGTCAGGGTATGCACGAGAGAAGTATACTCTCGGCATTGCGTTTGCAGCAACTGAGGAGGAAGCCAGAGGCCTGTGTAAACATGTCAATAACGGGAGGCTGGGGCATCATAAAGGGTTTCAGGGGACTGCTCTCATAATGACAAGGGCCCTCGTATTTTAAAAATGTGTCTTTAACCTCCCAGCCTGAGGATGTCCCAAATATAACTGAAGTCTTCTTTGCTGGCTCGTGGATGTTGGCCAGAGTTACGAATTCTCCAAGCAGAACCCTGGCAGTGGGAGTGAACAGTATAGAACAGAAATACTGACTGGGTCTTTAGGGTCTCAGGATACCTCTGGAGATGTGTTGTATTTTGACCCACATCCCTAATGGGACGTCGATTGGCCATGTGCCTCCTATTCCTAAAAGATGGCCACTACAAAAATAATCTATTGGAGGGTTTCAGTTCAGGTGAGAAACAGGGTGTCCTCAGATACCCACACACTCAGATTTTATAAAACAACCAAAACGGGTTGACTATCTTAAGAACTAACAGCGTGCATGGTCTTGTATAATAAGTCAATTAAAAGTAAGTGTAAGTTCCGATGTTTAACCAAAAGGGTGAAATGTTCTGATCAATTGTGAGTTAACTCATATATTTTTGCATTTGCTCTTTCCCTGGTTGGAAGAAGATCCTTCAGTGGGGCAGTTTCTCAT